GGGGGGACCACTTGTCAACCTTGACTTTTTGTAGCATGAGTATAATATTCCTCAAGAGCTGTGATGGTGAAATGAAGAAAAAGTCAATAGAGGGCCAGGGCTGTTTCTCATGAAGCCTATTGCCCAAGAGTCAGGGTTAGGATCAGCTGGTTAGCTTGGACCAGTACATGTGACCCCTTCCACCCACCCGAACAGGGTTTTGGGTGGTGAGGGAAACCAAAGACTTGGAAGAGAAGGTGGTTCTTTCCCTCCAACTTACAGTCTATGGGGAGAAGAACAAGTCGTGTTTGTGAAGCAACCCAATCACAAGTCCAGTGTTACAAGCTCAGATTCGATAAAGATGCTGTGAGGGAGAGAGTCAGCAAAGAGTTGGGCCTCTGTTTCAGCAGGGAAGCCTAGTGCAGGATCCTTTTGAGAGTAGATTTAGTGGCCAGTCTGAGGCAGGGCTGAGCTCAGGCCATGAGGTTGGTGAGCTTGACCCTGGTAGGCAGCCATCATCAATGTGCCTTGGAGCTGCTTCAGAAGCACCTGAGGAGAGAAGCTGCCAGCCCATCTTCCCTTTTGGAGGAATGAGTCTGGGGAATTTGGTCCCTCCCTTTCAAAGTCGCCCGCATCAGTCCCTTCTCAGGCTCTCCCAGAAAATAGCATCAAGTCACTCAGTCAGTAAGCACTGCTTCTCATTCCTTCTTTGGGGAATTTCTAGAATTACTCAAGTCAAAGGCTTTGAGGATGTCTCGGCGCAGTGAGCGCCTGCGCCTCCGTTACCAGGCACTTGGTGATGGAGGCAACAGCAGCAGCAGCAGAAGCAGCAGCAGCAGTGGAGGGAATTCCCAGGTGGCTGAGCAGCACACCAACTGGAGGGAGGGTCCCTTCAGGTAAGAGGAGCCAGAGGAGACTCAGTTGCCTTCTCTATCACAACTCTCCAGGGCAGCCAAGGGCCTTGGCTGCTGCCATGTGCACACTTCTTTCCTGCCCCCAATTTTGATAGACACTTCACTCTACTGCTTGCTTTCCCCCCAAACCAGAGAATTTCCTCTCCCCCTGTGGTCCCACCCTTTGGCTGCTGCTGCCTTCTCTTTCTGAGAACAGCAACTGAGGAGGGGCAACTTTGAGCATAGAGAAGGCTGGAAACCCTGAGGCCTGAAGCTGGGCAGGGAACAACCCCTCTCAGCCACAGATCTCTTCTCCCTGGCCGAAGGCCCATGCTTCTTAGGGTGAAGCCAGGTGGCTGAAGGGCCTGTGGGTGAGGAGACATTTTCAGCTGATTCTTGGCTCCCCTGATACCTCATCCTGGTGGTTTCATGTGGAAAGAGCCCCCCGCCCCTCCCCGGCCCATGGTAGCTATGGCTTGCTTGAATCCTGCCTCACACGTGATAAATTATTCATCCCTTTAAGGAAAAGAACAGCGAAAGAGGGCTTTGGCTATCATTACTTTTCATCCTTGAAGTCTCCAGCAAAGTCTCATTCCCCTGCAGGCCTTGCCCCTTCCGTTTCCTTCTCACCTGTCCTCTTTTTCACCCTCTTCTCTTTGCTCTTCATGCTTGCTGTCCCCCAGGACTCTGAGGAGGAAGTCCAGTAGGGTCAAAGGCTTCTCACCAGGCCTCTCACCAGCCCCTCATCTGGCCCTGTACACCTGTAACACCCCTGAATCCTCCTCAGGGTACTTCTCCGAGGATGACTCTGCAGGTAGGCATCACTTCTTCTGCCCTGGAGGCCCATTCCCCAGGCACTGCCCCACTTCCTTCAAAGGGTGCCCCATAGCTGGGGGTGGAGCAAGTATCTCTCAGACAAGAGGAAGAGAGAACTCAGCAGTCTGGCTCCAGTTGGGGGATTGAAGGGTGGAGGGGGGGCTCAGGCCTCAGACATGGTTGTCTCTCCTTCTGGGTGGATGCTCATTTCTTCCCTTCCCTGCAGGGCACTCCGTTATCCACCAGCCTGGCTCTGCATCCACCTCCAATAATGGTGCCTCCCAAGTTGGCATCTTTAACTGGATGGCAATATACATTTCAGGTGGGTTGTACCGGGGGGTGGCCACAGTGCCCAGGGGAGTGGTGCTTCGCTGTACCGAGAAGAGTTTCTTCATGCCTATGCAGGGCCAAGCTGGGCCAGGGTGGAGTAACTTGAGGACTCTATGGGGAGATGGGCTTATTATGGAAGGATCCCCAAGCACAGCTGAAGAGCTCTGGGAGGATGGAAGAGCAGAATAGCCAGAAGCAGCTGCAGAGTTGGCATGCTGGGAGACGACTAGATCTGGGAAAGGATGGGCTGGCAGGGGCACGCCTTTGAATCCCTCTGCTGGAACCTTTACAGGTTGGCTCTTTGCAGCATTCCAGTGGTGCCTGGGAAATGCCTGGCACTGCCTGACCACAGCTGCCTCCCTCCAGGATTTCTTTCTGTTAATCAGGTCAGTGAGGCCTCCCTGGGGCCTGTCACAATCTAAGATCCACTGCTCCAAGGGACTCCACAATCCTCCAGGTCAATTTCCCCTTAGGCTTTGCCCTGTTCCTTTTCAGCTTTTGGAGACTTTTACTCAATGAATCTTATGATAGACTCAGGTCAGGGCCAGGAGTGTGCTGGGACCAGCTGCAACCTGCTCCTGAGAGTCAGCTCCCAATTAGGGCTTCGTTGAGTGTCTCCACTGAAGAAGATGATGGGAGAAAAGGGTTGTGTGTGCCTTGCCCTCCTCCAGAGCTGGTTGTTGAACATTTAGCACCACACGCCTGCCCCCATTCCTCTTGGATCTTCAGGGAAGTGGGTTGGCTCTGACTGCAAGTGGGACTCTGTTCTTGAGTATCTTTTAGGAGCTCTCCCCTCAATAGTTCCTGCCTCTGATCACAACTGAGTCTGGTGAGTTCACTTCTGCTAGTCTGAGGGTCCTGAGTTTGCAGGGACACTCCCTCCTTTGGGGTTCCAATCCAGAATTTTCTGCCCAGTCTTCCAGGTCTCCAGGCCATGCTTGCAGTTTCTCTGTGGAGGAGCATGGGCAGGTCTCCAGGCTGCCTCCAGGGCTGAATCCAGGAGCCTCTAGAGCAGGGATGGGGAACCTGAGGCCCCAGGCCACATGTGGCCTTCTAGGTGCTTCGGTGTGACTTTTGAACTGAGTCCAAGTATGACAGAATCAATCCTTTGCGGAAGGGGATTGATTGTGTGAACTCTGGCCACAGTGGAGGACCTAGTGGACCACATGTGTCCTCGAGGCTGGCAGGTGTCCCAGGCCTGCCCTGGATTCTTGCGACCCTAGGCTGGGCCAATGGTGACCAGCCAGCCTCAGAAGGGGTCCCTCCTGCAGCTCTTCCGAGTCCAAATGGACAAGCAATGTAAGGACTTAGACAAGAGAAGACTGCCTAATTCATGAGCAGCACATTAATGTAGTTCTGATGGAGGCCTGATAGGGAAACACCTTCCACTGCACCTGTCAAAGGGCAGCATGTCCCTTTGCCTAACAACATGAGCGCCTTTTGGAAAAGCCAAGTTTTCTCCTTCTACTTTACCCCAAGGGTTGTCCATACAAGCCCAGTTCTCCACTTCCTGGGTACCCAGTGGCAGGGAGTGGAGGTGGGAGGGGGAAGAGTGGGCACACCCTTTTGGTTGTTCCATTTGCCACTTAGGGAGGGTCTGCCAGCAGCCAGAGGTGGTGAAGGGCAAATGCTAACATCTCCTCCTTCATTCCTATGAAATGCAGGAGCTTTTTCACTCGGAAGAAGTTGCTCCTCTTTGTCTTGGGGATGCTGTTCTTTGTGGCTTCGCTGGCTTATGGTGAGCCTTGTGGAGTGCCCAGGTCGGCCACTCCAGATGGGGGCGAAGGACAAGGGTTTGGGGACAGGGCCTTCAAAGTTTGGAAGGGAGATCGTTGAAGGGGAGCCTTTAGGGAGCCAAAGGGACAAAAGCCCTGGGAAAAGGGACCCAGGCCACATATGGGCAAGCTGTCCTGCCTCAAATGTCAGAGTTCTGTCCTGTCTCTCCTTCTCCTCTCCATCTAATCCAACAAACCTTTATTGTGTAGCTTGTGTATGCTGGCCTCAGAGCCTCATGCTGCAAGGTCAGGGTGGCTGTGCCACCCACCTTGAGCATGTCAGGGGCATGGAGGTAATTTATCTGTGCCTTCAGTGGTCCCTGACCCAGCACTTGAGGGTAAGGGATTGAGAGAGGCGCTGAATCAGGAAGGAATCTATTATCTGAGGAAGACACACAGCTGATGCCAGGTCTGGAGGGCTTTGCCCCTTCTCATTGGTGAGAACACACAGGCCAATAGAAACAGGCATGATCCCAGAAGGGCTGGGCTCTTGGTCGGGAGCCATGACATCACTCAGTCCATACTGTGAGATCAAGTCCAGCTCAGGAATGATGATACCACATGCAGATGGTCACCAGCGGCTGTCTGCAGTCAGCCTCTCTACAGAGAGCATTCTGTTCCTCATTCAAAAGGGACAGGGCATTGTGTTGACCAGACTTGGGACCAGAAAGCAGCCCTTGTGGCTTCAGTCTCCATGTCCTCTCCCAGCTGAATCTCATCCCTCATTGTTGCCATCATCCAAAAGTATTTAATGACTTTTTAGAGGATCCTGAGAGAGGGATCCCTTTCCTGAAGGCTCTTGGGATGGAAGTGGCTCTAGCCATAGCCTTCCAGATCATGGGGCCCCTAGCATATCTGCCTTCCTTAGGCTGGGATCCTAGCTCACATCGACGTGACACTGCCATACTCAGGCTGGATGGAGGTCCTCACCCTAGACTTCTTGCCCTTCTGACACCTCAGCCTCTGTCTCAATGAGCCTTTTCTCCCGTGTGCTAGGTGCTTGGTGTTTCTACCCCTATGGACTACAGACCTTCCACCCTGCTATGCTCTCCTGGTGGGCAGCCCGTGGTAGCAGCAGGAGAGAGGACAGGTGGGAATCAGCACAGTCCCCCTCATATTTCCAGGTGAGTGTCCAGCTGAGTGTCTAGAACGCTTCACGCAAGATGGGCAGACAACCCGCTCACAATCCTCTTCATTCCTCTCAACCCAGAGTGGGAGCCAGGATCAAAGTTCAAGCTTTGCCACTTGCTGCCTTTCAGACCTTGGGCAATTCAATGTCAGTCTCTCTAAGACTCAGAGCTCATCACTGCCCCCCCCCTTCAATTGAAATCAGTTGCCTTCCACTAGAGGCCTTCCCTAGCACCTTGTCACACAGTGGGGTGACCCTGGGAACCCAAGGAGTCTCCACAAACTGGCCAGCACAGCCCAGACTAGCAGACTTTACTAAGCTGGGAAGATGTGAAGGCCATGTGCGGATCATGTTGGCTGCCCACCAGAAGCTTATCCACCAGGTGATTTGATTTGTGGAGCCATGATGACCTTGCAGGCAGATAAAAAGATCAAACAATAACAGAAAAAACCCCCAATTCATGGAAAACTTTAGACATACATAAATACATATACACACACACACATATATATTTATATGTATATCTATCTATATCTTTATCTATATCGATATATCTATATATATGTATCGATATCTATATCTATATATCGATAAATATATATATATATTTATCACTGATTGGAAAGGGTAGTTTCTCGTTTTCCTTTCATATCACCACCTTTCTCAATATAGCCTTTCCATCTCCCCCTCCCACAGAGTCATCCCTTAAACCAAAATATGAAACAAGAGGGGAAGAAAATAGTTCAGGAAAACCAACCAAGTCAACAGCGGAGTCCTGCCTTCTGTGCAGATTCCATGGCAGTAGACTCCCAGCCCAGCATTGAAGGGAAGGGAAGAATGTCCTCCTGGAAGATCTTTGGGGCCATGCTCCAGCATGATCTTTTCACAACATTTGGTTTCAGATGTTGGTTATTCACTCCATTTACATGGTTGTCTGTGGTGCTTGTTTATCTTGTACTCTTCATTCATTTCTTTCACTTTGCCCCAGTTCATGTAAGTCTTGTCATGTGTATCTTTCAACACAAGAGTTGTGTTTCTTCTAGCATCAGAATATTTCATTGTATACATAAGCCACAGTTGGTTTAGCCATGCCCCTGTGTATGGGTACTGACTTTGTTTGCTACAAAAGAACTTTCTTGGTGGTTGGATTGGGATAACATGGAATAAGTAAGTTAATTTCGGTACTTTTGTCACTTTGATTCTATTGCCTTGACTTACCCCTGAGCAATGAATATGTCTCCAATTGTTGAGATCTCTCTCTGTGTGTGAAGGATGTTTTGTAAATGTGTTCCTGGAGTTCCTGTGTGTATACTGACCACAGTACTTTTCAATAGAATTTCTCTCTCTCTCTCTCTCTCTCTTTACCTCTC